CATAGATCTATTTCCCCATCCTCATATATAAACATATTTGCAAATGTACATGCCTTTATCTAGACCTATAAATGCCCTTTGCCTCCCAACTCTTTCCTCTACAGTATTTCCTATGACTTTCTACCTGTCCCACTATAATGCTCAGTCCCCACCTGGGTTTCAGCAATTCCTCTTGGTTACATTACCATTGATCACGCCCTACTAGGCCTCCCACACCCTCCTCACCACCAATTTGAATCACTTGTTGTTCCCTTGTCCCTGGCTTTATTAATACCACTACCTTTCCCCTCACTTCCCCCTTTCCCATGTGCCCCTAGAACTGTCGGTCCCATTGTTTTCTCCTCCAGATTGTTCATTCAGCCTATCTTATTTAGACAGACTTATGGATATAATAACATGCACAAAAACAAGACAGAGTAATACCAAGCAACAATATTCAAGAAAACAACAACAAACCGATGACAGAAAAACAAAACAAAACACAAGAAGGAAAAGCTTATAGTTAGTTCGAGAATTGTTTGTTGGCCTTTAGGAGTGTTTTCCAGTCCAGTCTGTTGAGGCACCACGCCCTGGCCCCAAAGTCCACCTTCAGTATTCCCTAGGGACCTCACCGCTCTATTCCCTTGCTGTTCTGTTGCACCCCCTTAGTGTTTTGCATCTGTGTGGTGGGATCAGAACGGACGCAATTCCCACACTGCGTCTCCGGCTAGATGTTGGTTTTAATTTCCTGGTTGCTCCCCTGTCTGTGGTGGTGTTTGCTCACCACACCCTTCCCTTCCCCACCTTCTTCCCCCAAAACCCTCTGGGGCCATTGGCTCTGTTGCTTTCTCCCCTAGCTTGCTTCCTATGTGTGTCTTATAATAAGTAGGCAAACCAGCAATGTCTTAGTCCAAACAATAAGAAAACAAAAGGTTGAAAAAAGAAAAAGAGTGAAAAAAAATACCCATACATAGTTCCAGGTCTGTCCACTGGCCTTTATGAATCTCTCCCCAGTGATCCTGGGGGAGTTCCGGGGGCTGCCCCTCCTAGCCCGAAGTCTATTGGGGGCTCTTTAGGGGCTTTGCTCGAATTGCTGATCTGTTATGCTCCCTTCTTGGTTTGCCCTGCTGCAGGGGATTCAGGTCACATTATCTCCCACCCCTGTGTCCCCATTATTGATTGTCGTCTGTCGACATACGCTCCAGTGAGGGGACAACATGTTTTGAGTTGTTGGCAGTCCTACAGTCCTCTCTGTGCCTAAGCAGCTCCATAAAGAGACACCATCCTCCAGGCTTGTGTGCCAATACGGAGTCTAGGCCAACTGTCCCTTTCTCTTTGTCCTTCTTGGTTTGCTTCCGTGTGGGCGTGGTACGTCGGCTCCTTTCCCCACCTGAAGGTTTAGTGTTGTTCTCTGTCGCTCATACTTCTAGGGCGGGGGTCAGATTGGCTCTGGTTGGGGCCAGCCCTGTAGCCCAGTCTTTTCATGCGATCCTCCACGTGGTTCCGTTGCCTTCCTGGTTTGGTGTGCCGTGGCGGGGACTGTATGCACACTCCATTTCTGTGGAGATACAACCAATACTCCCCCTGCCGTCATCTCAGTTTCTCTTTCCCCTTTTCTCCCTCCTCCTTCCCCCCTTTCCCTTTCTTTATGTTGGATTCACTTGTACCTTCTTGTGTTTTGTCTGACCTCCACCCAGCTGCCTGTGCCTCCACCCGTATATTGTGCGGTAAGTGTCTTCTATACCAGTGGTTCTCAACCTCTGGGTTGCAACTCCTTTGGGGGTCGAACGACCTTTTCACAGGGGGTCGCCCGATTCATAACTTTAGCAAAAGTACAGTTATGAAGTAGCAACGAGAATAATTTTATGGTTGGGGGTCACTGCAACATGAGGAACTCTATTAAAGGTTGCAGCCTTAGGAAGGCTGAGAACCACTGTTGTACACCTGCTGTGCTGATTGTACTTACCTCAGGGACTCCTGTTATACTTGTCCTTTTGTGACTGGCTGACCTCGCTTAACATAATTTCCTTCAACTCTTTCCATGACACGATGTGTTTCATGTGGTCGTCTGTGCTTTTTAGTGATGCATAGTACTTCATCGTGTGTATGTGCCAGAGTTTATTAATTCACTCATCTATCGATGGAAATTTAGGTTGTTTCCAACTCTTTGTGATTGTGAATTGTACCACAATAAATATTGGGGCACAGACGACTGCTCGTGATTTATTTCTTACCTCTTCTGGGTATATGCTCAGTAGAGGAATAGCTGGGTCATAAGGTAGATCGATTTCCATTTTCTTTAAATATCACCAAATTGCTTTCCACAGTGGCTATACATATCTACATGACCACCAGCAGTGGAGGAGAGTTCCTATTTTACCACAACCCCTCCAACATTTGTTGCTCTTTGATTTTCTGATTTGGGCTAACCTCAAGGGTGTTAGATGGTATCTCATGGTTGTTTTAATTTGCATTTCTCTATGAATAATGATCGGGAATACTTTCTCGTGTTTATTGGCCATACAGGTTTCCTCCCTAGTGAAGTTTCTTTTCAGTTCTTTTGCCCACTGCCTCAGAGGGTTAACTGTTTTCTTCTTTTTGTAGGCCAGGAGGGTATTGTAGATTTTAGTAATAAGCCCTTTGTCTGATGTGTCATTGCTAAAAATCCTCTCCCAGTCTGTGGGTTGCCTTGTTACCCTCTTGGTGAAGTCTTTTGACGTGCACTGGTGTTTTATTCTTATTAAATCCCATTTGTCAATTTCCAGTTCACCAAGCAGGTGCATTGTTGTGGTGGCAATACCAGTCGCCTGTCTTCCACAAATCAGACCGTTTCTGTCGCACACTGTTATGCAATCTTTTCAGAACTTCTAAATAGAAAGCTTGATGAACAGTCTGACCTGGTGGAACAAAATCCAAATGCACTATGAGTCAACATTTTTGTCTGTTTGGGAAGTTGATGGACGTACAGAACAAGGTTTGTCATCAATCGACATTTTACCTTTTTTGAAAAGAGAAAACCACTCATACACTTTAGTTTTTCCCATAGTGCTGTTCTTGTAAACTGTGTTCAACATCACAGCAGTCTCCACAGCATTTTCCCCTGAGCAGGAAACAGAATTTCATAGCCACACACTGTTCTCTTAAATCAGCCACCACTAAAAACCAAGTTCGAGTGAAACTCCTTTGATGAAAACGTTCACTGTGATCAGAGAGAACCTTCCCAGGCAACGCCACTGGGTGCACTAACTCAGCAAGTTGTTCCATGCTCGCTTGCCTAGTGGGAAAAATGTGTACTGCGAAAACTTCGCTCTGCCCTTTGCAATCTCGTTTCTTTTTGGCTACCTCCTCGTATGCTAAAGAGCCACCCCACTTTCCGATTTGACTTCTTCCCTATAGACTTATATCAAGTTGCCTTAACATCTCTCTTCAGTCGTATAGTCAGCCTCTCAAACTTGCCCTGTCTAACATAGAGCTCTTGCCTTTCCTCTTGCAAATGTTTTCTTTAGTCTACTCCACAATCTATCTCTTTTCTCAGACAAAAAGCCAAGAAGTCGTACTTAATTTTTCTTTCCTTCTGAAAACACTTTGCCTTTCAAGTGTATCATTAGTCTGTCCATTTCTTTTCATCTTTACTACTGCCACCCTAACTCAAGCCACCATCATCTTTACTTGAAATACTGCAGTAGCCTCCCAAACTCCACTACTCATTTGAAAAATGGAATGTCATCTTTGATATTTTTCTTGACTCCCAAACTCCAATGTTTTCATACCTCTGTGATAGCTCTTACACCAGGCTGTTTCATTGTTTGTTTATTTGTTTCTCATTAGACACACTTTTTAAACCGGGGGCCAGTTCACTGTCCCTCAGACCCGTTGGAAGGCCAGACTATAGTTTAAAAAATAAAACTATGAACAAATTCCTATGCACACTGCACATATTGTATTTTGAAGTAAAAAAACAAATGAGGCAAAAACACCTGGTGGGCCAGATAAATGTCCTCAGCGGGCCGCATTTGTCTCGTGGGCCGCAGTTTGAGGACGCCTGGCCTATGAGCTTTTCAAGACAAGCTTTTCTTAGTTTTGGTATGGGGTCAGCAGAAGTTTGTTGAGTGTTCATTCTTCAATGGAATAAGCCTTGTTCCCTGTTTCCAAGGTGTTATGTCAGATAGCCATAGGACACACTAGAATAAATCAGTGTCACAAACAAGGAAGAAATCACATCTTGTAATAATCAGACATCCTGGACTACTCTACACTTTATGAGTGAGTTAGCATTTGTAATGGGCCTTGAAGTATCAATGTGAGATGTGAAATTAATGGTGTCTTGCCTTTTTTTTTTAACTTATTGATGTCTTTATCAGAAATAATAAAATCCATAAGGAACTAGACTATTTGCCAGGTATTCTAGTGCTGTAACCACTACCTAGAATTAGTTTGCCTGTGTTTGATCTTGCATCATTCATCAGTTGATTTAGACAGAGGAATACATCTTTGGGGATTATCAATGTGCCTTCTGCTATTTGTGAACTTTACTCATAAATTCAGGAAGTAATATTTGGGATTAGGTAGGCCATCTGTCTAAATGTTAACAACAACAAAAAATCATGTAATCTGATGCATTTCTGCCCTCCTACATTGATTTTCTTTTATCCATTTTAGCTACAGACCCCTTTGCTTCTGTTTTTGGAAATGAATCATTTGGAGGTGGATTTGCTGACTTCAGCACACTGTCAAAGGTAACCTGCAGTGATTAATGGGCAGAAAATCTCACTTTGTTTCCAGCAAACGAGCAATCCCTCTGATCAGTTATATAGAGACAACTTATTTCAATAAACCACAGCAAATTTTTATTTCAGATAAAATTGTATAGTTAAAGTAGATCTTACTACATATGAAAAGTCTCTAGTGATAGTATAGGTGATATCTAATTGTTTTCTGATAGGTTTGCATAATAAATTTAGTGTTTTTCATATTAAGAGTATTCTACACTGATTGTGGTAGCAATTGTACAATTCTGCCTGATGTGATTGAACTATGGAATTATATGATACATGTATTAGCTCCCAATTAATAATAAAATTTTTAAAGTATTTTAACATTTCCCTCCCAATTGAATTACATTTAGTATTCCCACATAACTGATTGGATCAATAGCTATAAAATGTGAACACTCATTCTGTCCACTCTGCCTTGGTTACCTGGTTTTGTGTACTGAAGCTCTTAGGGTCACTATTAAGATAATGAATACACATAGTCCAGCACTTACATCTGCTACTTTTTTCCAGCGCACCTCAAGGGTTGATTTTGGTCCAAAGAGGATTAGAATATATGTCAGATTATCTGTATCGGTGGATTTCAACGAGAGTTGATTTTGCCCCTCAGAGGACATTTGGCAATGACTGGAGACATTTTTGGTTATTATACAGGGTTGGAAGTTCTAGTCACATGTCAGGGGTTGAGGTCAGGGGCGCTGGTAAACATGTACAGGATAATGTACAGGACAGCATCAGCCTTCCCCAAAAATGGTACAGTACATTAATAGTGCCACTGTTGAGAAACCCTGTTGTAAATAGATTTTAAATCATTAAGTCTGAGTCATTGTGGAAAAGTGTATCATTCATTACTCTACATTAGACCACATTCTACAGATTAATTTGCTTTAAAAGTTACTTTTCAAATTGTCTTTATAGTTTTCACAATGCCATTTTCTCTGACAGCATTAAATCTTTCCTATATAGAAGTATATTGGGAAGTGTGAGATCAGTAAATTTTTTTCTTGTTGATTACAATTCAGATCCAATATTGATTGGAGTGCAGACATACATGCCCTTTAAAATGAGCTTCAGATAGTTTTGTTTTAACATTGCCTGAAACTTGACAGACCTTTAAAGTTGGCTTGTTTTTATATCATCTCTTACTCTTAATAAGTAGTGATTGTTGATTTTATTTCAAAGATTAAAATGTTCGGTTGCACAAAATTGAAATAAATAAAGCTGTATAGTACTTAGCATCTTTCTTATGTATACTACATGGCCATGCACAATCTGCTTGATACCTTATATATAACTACGTGTAAACATTTTTCTTCAAACAAAGGTCAACAATGAGGATCCGTTTAGTTCTGCCACATCGAGTTCTGTCAATGATGTGGTCACTACAAAAAATGTATTTGAGGAAACATCAGTCAAAACTGAAGATGTGCCCCCAGCACTGCCACCAAAGACTGGAACTCCAACACGACCGTGCCCTCCACCACCTGGTATGAGAGTTAGTACCTTTCCTAAATCACCTTGGTGCCTTTTCTTCCTCTGAAAAGTTCTGAGTGGTCCTTGCTTGTGTTATATTTAAATCTTATGTAAAGAGTCTTAAACAAATGAGTCAAAAACATGCCTGCAGTCCATTGCTGTTTTCTGTTCTGAGCTCAGTACAGGATTATAGACATAGGCTTGCAGGTGTAACTCATGAGCTGCCTTTCTGGCAAGGGTTAATTATTTTTGTTCTTCCTGAATCATTTTTTAAGAGGCAATAATTGGAAAAAGCAAAGTATAGATAGAATCTCTTCCTTTTTCAAAGCTCATTGGTTATCATTTGAACAACATTTTGCAAGTTTCTTATACTTTAGTGTTTTCATTCATCCCTATAAGAGAAGATTGATTCAAAGTTCCTTTCTTCTTCCCTGGTCTAAAGCCCTGCCTACATCCTAAGTGTGATGACGTGTGGCTGATTCCAGAGATCCAGTAATTTGGTAGTTTAAAATAAGATATTACTTTTCTTAAATGTGATTTTATTTACTTAGTAAAAGATTCCTTTATTTTATAATAGTAATTACCTGTTTTGAACTTTGGATTTTTTTTTTTTGTAGAATACACAAAAAAACCTTTTGTTTTTAACAAAATAAAATTCATGAGTAGTGCCTAAAAAGACAATCCCCTCTGTGGTTCAGCTGCTGAAGACTTAGGTGATACATTGTTGTTGATTCTCTATAATCCTTCGGTGAAATTTTTACCCCAGTAGTTATAGATTATTATTCGTGCCTTTCATAATAAACTTTCCATGGCATTTCTTGAGCAGATTGTTTTTTTTCCCTTTCCTAACTTAAAAAAATTACTTGTCCAGGTGTTCATAATCAGTGATCGTTTGCAAATATCAGATGAATAATCCAGGTAGTTCCTTTCTTTTGAGGAAAATTGGCCTATGAAGGGGTACTCAAAAAAGGGGGGGGACATTTTTTCAAAATTATTTAAAAATTTTTACAAGACAACCTTAACACCTTCAAAATACTCTCCATTACACTTAATACATTTGTCAAATCTGTGATTCCATTCTTTTTTTTTAATCATTTTATTGGGAGTTCTTACAGCACTTATAACAATCTGTACATCAATTGTATCTAGCACATTTGTACAATTGTTGCCATCATTTCCAAAACATTTTCTTTCTACTGGAGCCCTTGGTATCAGCTCCTCTTTTTCCCCTCCCTCTTCCACCCTCCTACCCCCGTGAACCCTTGATAATTTATGAATTATTTTTATATTCATATTTTACACCATCTGCTATCTCCCTTCACCCATGATTCTGTTGTTCATCCCCCTAGCTGGGGCGGAGGGTTGTACATCGATCATTGCGATCGGTTCCCCTTTTCTCTCCTTCTCCCTCTATCTTCCCCCTACCCTCATGATATCGCTTCTCTCATTATTGGTCCTGAGGGGTTTAATCTGTCCTGGATTCCTTGTGTTGAGAGCTCTTATTTGTACCAGTGTACATGCTCTGGTTTAGCCAGACTTGTAAGATAGAACTGGGGTCATGATAGTGGGGTGGGGAGGGGCATGAAAGAACTAGAGGAATGTTGTGTGTTTTATGAATGTTGAGTATTTTGTCAGTGCTATACTGTACCCTGGCTGGCTCGTCCTTTCCTTGTGACCCTTCTGTGAGGGAATGTCCAATTGTCTACAGATGGGCTTTGGGTCTCTATTCTGACCCCCTTGTTCACATCAAAATGGCTGTTTGTTTTGGGTCGTCTGATGCCTGATACCTGACCCTATCAACACCCCATGATCACACAGGCTGGTGTGCTTCTTTCATGTGGGCTTTCTTGCTTCCCTGCTAGGTGCCTGCTTCTTTGCCTTCAAGCCTTTAAGACCCAGACACAATATCTTCCAATAATTGAGCACCATAAACTTTCTTCACCACATTTGCTTATGCACCCATTTTGTCTTTAACAATTATGTTAGGAAGGTGAACATCACAGAATGCCAGGTTATTAGAAAAAAGTATTCTTGCATTGAGGGAGTACTTGAGTAGAGGCCCAATGTCCATCTGCTACTTTAATACTTTACATATAAATGTATGTACATAGATATATTTCCTTATTATATATATATATTTACATATGTACATGCCTGTATTTAGACCTATAAATGTCCTTTGCCTCCTAGTTCTTTCCTCTATTTCCTTTTCCTTTCCTTTTGTCCCACTATCCTGTTTGACAACTTCATTCAGGTTTCAGTAATTCTTCTCGGCTGCATTGCACTTGATTGAACCCTACCAGGTTTTAGATCTCTTGTTATTCCCTTGCCCCTGGGTTTGTTGGCTCCCCACTTCATTATCCTCCTCCACCTCCTCTTCCTTGTCCCCCCAGAACCATGGTTTTCTCCTTGGGATTGTTTATCCTGCCTATCTTACATAGATAGGCTATTTCCATGGGGGGGAAAGAGAGAGAAAAATAGCCTATGACTAGTTCTAGATTTGTCTGCTGACCCTTATGAATGTTTTCTGATCGGGTCTGATGTAGTGCCAAGCCCTGTCCCCTGAGTCCGAAGTCTATTTTCAGAATTCCTCGGGGATTTTGTTGTTTTGCACCCCTTGCTGCTGTGTTGTGCTCCCTACGTATTACCCTGCTCTACAGGGATTGGACTGGACACAATTTCTGCACTGTGTCTCTGGTGCTGCCCCCTGTAGAGCTGTGGGTCAGTAAGGGGATATCTGTGTCTTGTGGTAGGGTCGGCTCTGGCCCTCTCTGCGCATTGGCTCCTCTAAGTGGGAATGTCACCCTTGAAGCGTGGTGGACCAGGAAACTGATCTCTCTTTCTCTCGCTTTCCCTCTTAGTTTGCTCCCGTGTGGTCTGGGAAGACCTGCCACTCTCCCTGGGCTATATCTTCAGTGCTGTCTTCTGAAGGGCATGCTTCTGGGCCAGGGGTCGACGTAACTGGGATAGGGGCCAACCCATGCGATTCCATTCTTGGAAATAGTTTTCAAACTTATCTGTTTGAATGACAGACAGCCACTCCCTCGTTTTTTTCTTCACCTCTTCTACATCGTGACATCAATGTCCTTTCATGTCCCTCTTCATTTACAGAAACAAAAAGAAGTCACACAGAGCAAGGTCAGGTGCATGGGGCAAGAGAGGCATGCTGGTTTTTGCCAAAAACTGGTACACCAAGATAGCTGCATGATGAGCAGGTGCATTGTCCTGGTGGCAAAACCAGTCCCCTGTCTACCACAGACCTTTTTTGTCACACACTGTTATGCAGTCTTTTCAGAACTTCTAAATAGAAAGCTGACCTGGTGGAATGAACTCCAAATGCACTATCCCCCTCATATCATATCTGGGTTTTTTTGGGGTACCTCCTTGTATACCACATGTTGGTAGGTCAGAATATATTTAGAGAAAAAAGTTAAACAATAATCCATTTCTATTTTCAAGTTTTATGATGCAATTAGTGAAATTATTTTTTAATTCTGAAGTAAGATATTGTACTAGTGCCTTGGTTAGTTCTGTGACTTGTGAGCAAAGTGAGTGTTTGTTGATATAGAAAGGTCGAGAAGGAAAGGTGGTTTGTGGGACGGGTACTGGACTCGGAGTCTATCCCAGGCTCTAATGCTTGCAATCCCACTGACGAGCTCTGCGATCTTTAGTTGCTGTAACTCTTAGAAGGTGGCAGAATCTTGCCTACCTTTCATAATTGTTGGACAGATCCCTGAGATATGAGCATCTTTTATAAGCTGCTACAGGGATTGAATATGTTATAGTTACTATCAGCAGCGCAGTGCATTTGAAGAAAATATGTACTTGAAGATATTTTAACACCTATCCTTACATCTTTTCTTCAAGAAATACTAAGTTTAAATAAGATTTTAAAATTAAAAACCTTGTTTAAAAATGATGATGAATTAATAAGTAATTAACAAGGCACTGTGCTGTTGTTTGACCAAAGGTTAATTTATCGGCAACCACTAAGAGTTAGGCCCTAGGCCTCAAGACATTTTTTTCATTTTTAAGTTTTAAATATTGTGAATGGCAAACGTAGTGGGATTTTGCTGTGGTAATGTTGATTTTAAGCTCTCAGGTACTGTGTATAGAACTAGAGAAAAATCAGAAAAATTTAGGCATATTTCAAAGGTCGTTTACTCTTCTTGCCACTAGTAAATAATTGAGGTTTATCACACCAAGAGAGTCCCCTCTCTTGCTTGTCATGTTCCTCCTCATTTCCCCTGTCCACCCACTGCAGCACCTGGTGCTTTGTGGGGACGTAAATGAAGTTTAGTCTCCAAATAAAAGTGATTCCTTGCCCACGTACTCCCTTTTGTTACTTGCTTGTCTTTTCTTTTTTATTCCTCCCCCATTGTGCTGCATAGGAGTGCTCAAAAAGTCCATGGAAAAACAGAATGAACTGATTGCGGAATTTTCCCATGAACTTTCTGAAAACCTTTTGTAAAGTTGCATTTTGTTTTTGAGAGGTTGTGTGTAGAAAAACTGAAGGACAGAAGGTTGATGTGACCACCTACGGTAATATTGAACGTGTGTTTTAGGCTCTCACTCCCTGTCCCCTTCCCCCACCCCCAGTTCTTTAATGCTCCTGTTGTTCATGTTCTTGTATGTTTATGTTTGCTGTATATGCTGGTTGAGTTAATTGTGATGATTTTGATCCAGGGAAAAGACCCATCAGCAAATTGGATTCTTCTGATCCCTTTAAACTGAAAGATCCATTTCAGCCTTTCGCAGGCAATGATAGCCCCAAAGAAAAAGATCCTGATATGTTTTGCGATCCATTCACTTCTACTACTACTACTACTACCACTACCAATAAAGAGGCTGACCCAAGCAATTTTGCTAACTTCAGTGCTGTAAGTACTGTGAATGGGCTGTTTGGGGGAAAGTCTTTCCATTTATAATTTGAAGAGGTTTTAAATTTTACTTTGGAAGTCTGCCAAATTTGCATCATTTCAACTAAATTTACCAATTTACTAAAAATCTTTTACTTTCCCCCAAGCAAAACCTCTGTTTGATTCTCTTAGTAGTCCTAGTTTCTTTGATAGAAAGAAGTTGTTTTATAAGCCCTTCTCTTAGTCTTGAAGGGCAATATAAATAAAAGATTATTATGCAGACAGTTATAGATGATGGTGATGTAATGGGCCTTTAGAGGTCTTTTGCTGTCTGTGTCCTGGATGACTATGTCAGTAATGAGCTTGTGTCTTTGTAACTGTGTATGTGTGTTTGCGCATAAAGGTTTGATGATTTTCAGAAACCAATTGGCAAGGAGGGGGTTAGGGGCTTCAAAAAGTTGATGGAAAATGGAATTGAAAAGACTGGGCCTTGTCTGAATAGAAAGTAAGGCTTTGTTTTATGTAGCTGCTTTTTTAAAAAGGTGAATGTAAGCTTTGTAAAATAAATGATGATTGTCAACATCTGAGCAATCTAATTATTTGGAGGGCCCTCATTGGCCAACCTTTCATATTTGCTCTGCATTCTCACAGAGCTGATTAGAATGGGCAGACCATTAGAAACAATGGAAGGACTCGGAAGGCTCTTCCTATAAGAAGGTCCTTATAGAAAGGGCCTAGAAGAGCACAGAAAATAGAGTCACAAACCATCGGTCTGGAGGAACAGAAAGTAATGACATATATCAACTTAGTATTCATACCACTTAAAAAAAGATTTCAGACAAAATGACCTTCATTATAACCACCTACTCCATATCAGAGCCTTGGCGGTACCATGGTGAAGCGCTCAGCTTCCAACTGAAATGTTGGCTGTTTGAACCCACCAGCCAATCCACAGGAAAAGATAAGGCTGTCTGCTTTTCCAAAGACTTGGAGCCTTTCATGCCCTCTAGGAAGTTATCCTCCGTCTGGGAGCATCACAGTGAGTTGAATCAACTTGGCAGCAACAGGTTGTTGCGTAACAGAGGAAGTTTCCTCTATTATCACCTTTTACCCTTTATTGTGGAAAAGAGTAGCCGGGTAACCCCAGCCAGCCACATTTTGCCCGATGTTTCCCTCCATGGTGTAGTATTTAGTTTAAGGTGACCAGACGTCCCGCTTTTGGCGGGACAGTCCCGATTTTTAACAATTTTTCCTGCGTCCCGCAGCATTTTTAAAAAGTCCCAATTTTTGGAAAGAGTACACGACAAGCTAGGGTATACGATTTTCGGCTGCCATGTGGCAATTTTGCCAGGATATGAGTTTTATCAATGGTGTCCCGCTTTACCAATGTTAAAAATCTGGTTACCTTAATAGTTCCCAACCAACCCCTTTGTCCCTGCACCAATCTCTAGTTAGAAAGGTAGGCAGGAGTCTGCTTGCACCTAAGGAAGCCGGACAGACTAGGAATGGGTGTCTCAGCTTCTGAATCCATGCTCTGAGTTCTAATGGCTTCTTCTGAATGTGAAGAAGCAAAATTGAAATCATATTTTTTAATATTGTGAAAAGGTAGGGATAGAATTATGCTGATTCAGCCTTTGTTAGATGAAATTTTTTTAAGCAATAAGTCAAGAATTCGCCTTTTTAAGAGACAATCATCTTCTTTAATATAAAATAAACCTATGGTATCTGAAATATGAATTATGCAAGGCAAAACCTGGTTGAGATGAATCTTGAACAGTAGCTGCGGTATTTTGCTTTATTTCATTTTGTTCTCTAAAATCTCTGTGTACTGCAGTATAAAATGGCTCATGATCTTTGTTTCATTATGAAAAAATTATGACTCCTCACTTAGCAATATGGTTAGGTTCCAAAGGTGAGGTCATTATTGGCGTTCTGCAAAAATGGAGAATGACTACACTAGATCACAAAACAGAGGATGACTCCACCTTTATATAACCGCTCAATTTTGAGAATGATGTCCCAGCCAGGTGGACACAAAGCCTTAACCATCACAGCCTCATTGCTATAGCTTCATACCGTAGTATCTGTTACTGCCATACGTTAATACGAAAGATAGTTAGTTTAGCTCTTGTACTATTCTTATAAATGTGAAATGTCAGATAACAAGATTATAAGTGAGGAATAGATGTATTATGTTTGTAAGTTTCAGAGACCCTCCAATTCTCTGAGCTGGGGGCGGTGGGGAGATGCCATTTTGGAAAAGCCTAACAATTTCATCCTTTAAGGAATTCTTTTTCCATTTTAAATAAAGTAGAATTTTTATTTTCTGCCCAGGTTGCCATTTTGGAAGTATAGAAATATCTCTAAAGCTAATAATTAACCAGTGTTTTGATTGTATTTATTGTCCTGGTTGGTACAGATGGTTAACTGATCAACTAGAAGCTTGGCAGTTTGAACCCACCCAAAGGAAGACAGACCTGGCACAGCCTTAAAAACCCTACAGAACAGTCAGTTCTACTCTGCACACAAGGGGTCGCCCTGAGTCAGAATCAACTCAGTAGCAGCCACCACCACCAAGCTTTTGTTTACATTAGGGCACCATGTTCTCAAAGCGTGCTGGGGTCAAGAGATGATCTGGCCTACTTCTTGCTTGGTTTACTTACTCTGTCCTCTTGGATGATGTAGAGAAAAAGCAGCATAATTTTTGCTTTATGGTTTTCTCTATGAAGAGCTAGCATAAGATAAAGAATTGCTTAAGTAGTTAAGTTAGAAATGATTTGACATGTGAGGTTGTTTGCTAAAGTTGAGCAAATGTTAGATCAGAAATGCTAATTCTCCACTATTTATAAATAATCTGCTGTAAGCATCTCTACTTTTATTAAGTGATGCTTTACTGTTTGGTTTTATAGACTCTGTAGACTGCGCTTACTTTTAAAATTAAACCACAGTTCAATTACTAGTTAAACCTAAATGTCTTTTCAGGAGAAAAAGTAGCAAACACCAAATAAGACTATTCCCATTGTCCTCCCAGTGAAATGAATACTTAATACCCTTTTGTGAGACCTATTTTCCCTTCCCTTCTCTTTACATCTTTGATTGATTGATTGATTCATTCATTCATTCATTCGGTCTTTTAAATGGCAGTATCCCTCTGAAGAAGACATGATTGAATGGGCCAAGAGGGAAAGTGAGCGCGAGGAAGAGCAGAGACTTGCCCGACTGAATCAGCAAGAGCAAGAAGACCTGGAACTGGCTATCGCACTCAGCAAATCTGAGATCTCAGAAGCATGAAGGATCCTTCTGTCTCCATCAGCAACACTCTTCTTCCTGAGTACTGAAGCAATGTATAGTGTGTATCAAAACTACCTATGCGCCTGGGAGATACAACTTATTTGAGATTCCTATCAATGTGACAAAAGTTTGGGGGTTTTCTTTTATCCCCCACCCCATTTCAGATTTGTCTCCCTTCTCCCTGTAAAAGCAGTAACCCAGTGAGACTGCCCTTGCTTAAGCCCCTGTTCTGGTGTGCACTTACTGTGAGCTTTGCCTGTCTGTGCGACTTCAACTTGTAAAGTTAGAGCACTCAAGCCGCTGCCTTCCGGAATATAGAGAAATAGCTTCATCCCTGCACTACCCTTGTTCTGTGGTTTTCTGATGACAGCCAGTGGGCTTCTTAAAGTTTGCAGTATTTTCCCCTGATAGGAGTGGTTGGGGGTGGGGGGAGGGCAAGAGTGCCCAGCTTCTTTTTTGATGGTGCAAATTGGCTGGTTTAAAGTGCATGTTAGCATCGCCTTTTAATAAAAGCGCTGTTTAGTTTGTTTTTTAGAGTCAAGGAAAACTGTTTGCATAGATAGACTCCACTCTGTCAAAGGAGGATGCTTCGGTTGAGCCATTACAGCTTCAGATGCGGTCTTTTCCTGAACAAAAACATTAAAGCCTCATGTGTGAAATACATTTTAAAAAGGAAGTTCTGAGGATTTAAAGAATCCTAGATAAATAGACGCCTCTTCCATGGGTTTGCCAGTTGATAAAATCAGTTTCTTACAAATCAGATTTTTTAAAAATGTATCCTCTAAAATATACCCATCAATCTAAGATCTAAAGTAACAAAACTCTTAATATGGTGGCCGCCCTTACCCCTTCTCTCCCCCCCTCCCCCATGCTGTGGCACTGACCTCTTTAGTTCATGATTGATTTTTGTACTATTGCAGAAGGAAGCTAGAACTGGAAAGTAATTTTTCAAATATATATATATATTTTTTTGTTTTCTTGAATGAAGGCTCAGTTACTTGACTTGAAATGTAAAATCTTTCACTGAGTACAAATGGAGAAGGTGGTATATATTTTAAATCATATTGTTGCTTTTTTTCTTCCCATCTTTATGATTTAAAATAATTTCTTAATTCTCTTTGTGTTTTCATTTATAAAATTAGCAAACTAGCAGAAAAAATAAAAATAAAAAAAGCTCTTCACATGTTAAAAGCCCCATCTTCTATAAAACTGACCTAGGGGATAAGCCAAATTTGAAATAAATGTTAACATAGGCTGTAAGTTGTAAAATAACTTTAGTTTTGAAACATCTGTGTGACTTAGGTAATCAGTTGCATACTAAATGCACCTAAAAGCAAACTAAAATTCCCTGGGATCACCTGGTCAAGGAGGTATTGATGGCCTAGCCTACAAATAAATTTTAAATATCTAATTCATTACCTCTTGAAATGGTGCTCCACAGCCCCCCCTCCATCCAGAATTGGACTGCTGCAGTTCAAAACACAATTTAAACCACTGTCACACAGTAACTTTTTTCTACTTTTGTAAATAGAAACCCGTCAGCGTAAAAGTCGTACATATGAAGCAAGGGCTAAACCATCCTCACAAGGCTTCAGTTTTGGTACCGCAATCAGTCCCATGGCCTAAGGCTGGTACTGCAAAAGTGGATGGAGCAGGCAGTGTTGGAAGTTGCATTAAGTAGTAGGTTTTTTATTTTTTCCCTTCCCCTTAATTCTTCAGGAAAAAGGTAAGTTGACTTGAACAACCTTCTTTTGCACTGGGAAAAGGAGCAAAGGTTTAAAATGCTTTTAAAATATTTTTTTGTATTTAAAAAACACTCTGGAAAATATTAGATATCTGTAACTTATATACACCAACTTTCAATGTAATACGCGTACTCTAATCTTATGTATGTTTAACTGGATTACATAGATTATTATCTTTTATTAAAATATGTATACTCAGTGGACCGATATAATATTAAAGGATGTATATATTATATGATTCTCCATGCTCATCTCCATGCTCACTTGTGTAGGATGAATGTCTTAGAGTCTTATGCATTTTTATTTTACATTGTTGACTGACTACAGAGCCCGCGTTTGAAAGGGACCTGCTGAGTGTTAAATGGCACTATTTACAAAGTTTTAACTGCCTTCCTTCTACATACTTACTTGTTGAGGTTGACTGGGGCTCTCTTTATAGAATTTTCTCTTACATTCCAAAATTCCACATTGTAGCTTGTAATTATGAAAATAATAAACTTTATGTATAATAAAGCATACTCTTCCTCTGTCTTATTTGAAATGAAATTTGTACACAGTTCTCTGATGATGTCCATGCTGTATCCAAGGAGGGGTAGGTACGTTGTTGTCGGGTGCTATTGAGTCAATTCCCACTCCAGGCAACCGCTCAGGGGTGTAGTGGAGCTGCCCCGAGGGTTTTCAAGGCTGTGACCAGTTGAAAAAAGATTGCCAGGCCTGTCTTCCAAAGTGCCTCTGGATGTATTCCAGCTGCCAGGCTTTTAGCTAATAGACAACCATTTAACTGTTTGTGCCTCTTCCAGGGTCTGTGGTCAAGTAGTAAGTCTAGTAAGCATAACAGTGCTTGGGACAGTGCCTGCTAAGGAATAAATTCCCCCATAAATGGCAACTTATTATTAATTATCATCACCTATTATTTTTAAAGAAATACAGGGAATGTCAATGCCTAGAGAAAGTAGCTGAAATATAGGTAGCTTTTTATATATTTGTTGAATGAAGATTTGTGACTCTGGGAGGGGCCTGTGATGTAGTGAATGCACCCAGTCCTGAGATTGACTCTCTTTGAAAAAAAAAAAAAAAAATGCACCTCCCTGAGCCTCATTTTCTTACTCTAATGAGCACCATAACACTGAACTCACAGAATTATTCTAATGTTGAACTACATTACCACAGGGAACATAGTAGATGCTCAATAAACATTTAACTTCCTCTTCCATTTAAGAAGTTCAGGATTTGATTTAAGTTTTTTTAATGTTACTCATTAAATTCAGTCACGTGATAATAGTAATGCTAGCTGTTAGTTATGAATACATTATGTATGTGTTCTCATTTATTCTTTAGCCTTTAGTAGGCTCTATTATAATACCATTTTAGAAATAGGAAAACTAAAAAAAAAAAGGAAAACTGAGGTTCAAAGAATTAAAATTATTTGCTTCAGATCATATAGCTAACACAAGTAGCTAGACCAGAAATTGAACTGTGATCTCTCTGCTTGTAAAACAGATCTAATCTTTTTAGATTACAATGTTTTGTCTTGTTTTGTGTTTTTTTTAAAAAAATGCTCTTAGACATTAGGGACAGGACACAATAAATGACAAGTAGTGTTTATTAATTTCTAGGCATTATTCTAAGTGCTTTACATTTATTAGATCAAGTAATCCTCACAACATTATAAGGTATAGGTACTATTATTATCTTCATTTCCCTAAAGATGTCCCCTTACTAGGCCACAGCTAGTAAATGACAGAGGTGGAATTTAAGTCGGGAGCCTGGCTCCAGAGTGTAAGCCACGACTACTTTGGTTAGAGGTGAAGACCCTGAGAAGTGTGGTAAGCAAATTATCTTTTCCATTCGCTTGATAATTAATGGAATCACCCAGCCACATACCAGGTGACATCAAACCATTTTCTAATTTTCCTATTGAGTGCAAGGAGGATTTAGAACAGTGTCTGATACAGGAAAGCACGTATCTGATGTTAGTTATTAGTATTAACTCTAAATGATAAACTAGTACATGGGAGAAATGCCAACTGCTTTTTTATTGAAGAGGTACAAATTTTAAAACCCCAAAGCTAGAAAAAAAATGAAAAATAATTCAGCAGTGCTGGCAAGGTTCTGGAAAGTATACATTCCAAAGGAGGCCAAAGTAAGTTTTGAAGTGCTGTGTGCTTGCCACACAGATAAGGCACAAGGCATGCTGGGCAGAAGGTGTAGTATGTGTAACGCCAGAGAAGGAGGTCACATTTTGTGTGTGCCCTTTCTTTTTTTTTAACATTTTATTAGGGGCT